ATACTCTATAGCCAGTCATCGCTAAGCTTCCCAGTCCTTTTTTTAGTAGGTTCTAATACAGATTGTGCAATTTAATGAAGTTTTACATTTTTCTCGCTGGCTGTAAAGCATGCAAACGCGTGCTAGACAACGAGTGCGTTTACCAGACAAATGGGATAGTTTGCATTACCGATGCGTGATTTCAAGCTTATCGGTTATAACTTTAGGGTTTTGACGAAAAACCAATTTTTTCTCCCGATGACGCGTATCCTGGCCACTGAGAGATGGGAAATTGACAACCCTATGAAAATAATATTTCAAGCTACTCCTGAAAATGATTTTTTAAAATGACATAAACTTTAAAAAAAGTAAATAAAAATACTTTTAGAAACTATTATTCTTAAAAGAATCGTGACAGCACAGTATTTCATTTCAAATTTACTCTATAAATAGTTCATTAACAAATTCAAAAAAGTATTTTAAAATGTAAAGGACATATTTTAAAAACATTGCTTCATTTTACCTTTTGAAATTATCTTCTGAATATTCGAATGTAAGAACCAAATCATTTCAAAAAGATTTTGAAGATTTGCACACATCCATATTAAACGAACAAAATATTTTTTAACAAATAATTTTAAAATAGTAAACCACAACTTTCAAAGAACTTCTAAACAATATGTGTTTCAAGGAGGTGCATATCCACTTTACTCCTATACAAGATTTATTTATTTCGGTAACGTGCATGACCCCACACAAACCAAAAATTATTTCTAAAGGATATTGACAGATCGCTAATTTTCACACCGAAGGGCGCACAAAATATTTTCAAATTTTTTTTTTTTTTTTTTTTTTTTTTTTAATGATACAACTTAAATACGGAATCATTACTTAAGGTATTTCTAATCCGTGCTCTAAATTGAACTTCACTTTACCGAGGTTCATTTTTTCTTCGATTACGTGCATGCCCCCACACAATCCAAGAATCATTTCTGAAAGATCTCGACAGACCGCCAATTTTCACACCGAAGGACGCACAAAATATTTTCAAAATACTTTTTTAAAAATGATACAACTTAAATACAGAATCATTACTTTTAAGGTATTTCTAAGCCGTGCTCCAAATTGAACTTCACTTTACCGCGGTTAATTTTTTCTCCGATATCGTGCATGTCCCCACACAAGCCGCAAAACTGTTTTCACGAGTCGCGTTGTGTCCCACGAGTATAATAGAATCTAGGAGCCCCATGCGGCTCGTGATGTTAGGTGGTTGATCGGTCCTGCTGGGATTCGAACACCGAGCACCGCGTAAGTGCCTCCAATCTCTGCGCGCTTTGTTTTGGTCACTACATCGCGGTGCAGTCGACGCTTTGTCTCGCATCGCAGTGATCTCGGTTTCCTCCCAACTTCCCTGTCGCGCTTCGACTAAATTGACGGTGAAATCGGCGTGTATTTAGTGTTATTAGGCCCACTTTGACAGTGCGTCGCACTTCTGACGAAAGGGCGTATGAAGGGCGTTTCACATGAACTCCGAGAAGTATTGAGTTATATGGAGAACAGGGCTCACACGAAAACTGAATTACACCCTTACGACAGAGGAGAGACGAATAGGGCGGGCTATACACTGAAAAAAAAAGTTTGGTTGCGGGGACTGAACTTATATTCTACATTGAACTTTTTAGGATCATATAATCGATGATTTCGGCCGTAGGGATCAAATTTCGGTAAGCTGAACCGAACTTTAGGTTCTAGGACCCAAAACTTTGATTACACAAAACGAAAGTTTGGTGATCCATGCGAATCAAACTTCTTCTCTCCGTGTGGACATTGCATGAACCAAAGCGCTCCCTCGCTTGTTTTCATCAAAATTTTACGTTAAAAAAATGTGTGTCGTTCGCTTCGAAAAGTGGCCAACTCGGTAAAAAGTAGGTAGATTTTGTTTAATTCCAGAAGAAAGTTATAAAGTTAGGTTCGCGCATATCCTTTAAAATGTCATTTTTTAATTTTATTTTATTTATTTATTTTTTTCTTTTTGAAAAAGAGTTGAAAACACAGGCAAGAATTTTGCTTGTTCGGAAGGTGCCCAACTTTAACGTTTGAAAACATTTCGATGAAATTATGAAAAGGGGAAGAATAGAAAAAAAAAGATGAATGGAGTTGGTTTTGGGGCTTTTTGTGAACACTAAATAACACGCGCAAAAAATGATTTCCATTCATTAAGAGTTTTGGCTAAATGTAGTTTTTTCCGTTAACTAGATAGATATTATTTTTTTTTGCATATCCAAAAACAAGCTATTTAATTAAGATAATCGTCCTAAAATCAAAGTCTAAAAACGATTAAGTATTAACTACTCACTTTATTTAACGGGCGACAACACAAAAAAAGGAATGTATGTGCAATTTTACATTTAGTCAGTTCTAAAAGCATATGTTAATATATTGCTTTGGAGTGAATATACTCGAGTTAATAAGCTCCTCATAGCGAGAAACACTTTCTTTGATTGGGATACATAGAAACAACCAGAACACATAAGTCCACACTATTATCAACACGTGCGAAAAAACGTATAACAGGGTCATTTAATAAAACCGTTATATCTTGTGGCCCATTAAAATAATTTCTTGCCATGAATGAAAAACCTAGGTAAACCTACTTGAGGGAGAAGTAAACTATTAAAATACTGGTTTAAAACCTGAAAGCATCAAATTAAAATATTTTGAAAATGTTGTGCGCGTCCTTCGACATTTGCAAGCTATCAAACTATATGTATATATTTAAAAATAAAATATTTGTATTAGTATTATTCTTGAAATAGTCATGCTAAAAAAATAATTTTAAAAAATAAAAATTTTATAATATTTTTACAAAATGATGTTACAAAACACTTACAATGGACATACTCCTGATACTATTCCGAAGTAAAATGTTTGCTCCACAGCAACTGAACCTGCCTCTTTGGTCATATTCACAAATATTATTTAATTTGATTTTCATGTAATTTTCTCGTGTTGAAAATTATTCCGATTCTACAGTACTTTTCTACGTATAATTTAAGTGTTCACAGTGACTTACTAGTAGCAACAACAGTACATATCTCGCAAAACCGGTGATCGCATACCTAACCGCAATAGCACTGTCTGTTGTCGTGCCCCGCGCTTTCAGACGCGCAATCAGATCCACTTATCAGACGACGCGTCTCCTCTCCGTGCCATGCTGCCGTGCTAAGGAAAAACGCCGTATGAACTTTCAGGCGTTGCCAAATTTCCTTTTACGAAACACGAATTTCCTGGAAAACTCATGAATATTTTTCCTCCAGTTTTTCAGATAATTTTGTTTGCAATGTCACCTAAAGCTCTTGAAATTTTCAAAGCAAAATTTTCATAATTTTCCTACAAAATAAACATTACATCGAAGGAAATTTGGCAACTCTCAAATGCACATACGGCGTTCTTCCTTAGCACGGCAGCGTATATGTGGGCCGGGAGTTCAGTTGTTATGCAGTTGTATTATGTAGCTCTTGTAATAAACAGTATAAAGTTCTACCGGCTTTACAGATCCTTATTTTTCTCGTCAGCCTCAAGCATAACACTGTGGTGATACAGCTAACTGAACCGTACTTACAATTATTTTTACCTCTGGTCATGAGCATATCGACGGGTTTCGTCCGCAACCGCATATTCCAATTTGAGACATTGCAGATCATCTGTCAAACTGCATTTCTTGAATGAAAACTCTATACTCAATGGCAATTCTTAAGAACTTCCATAATCTACTTCCTTGAGCGAAGGAAATTCTGCGAAAACTTCAAGGAATAGTGTCGATTTGTTCTCTTTTAAAAAAATAAAATGGGAGCAGAGATTTTCAAACAGCGAAAACGAGATATACGTGGTTGCGGACTTAAACACTGCCGACATGTAGTTATACAGGGTCTGCATACGACCTGCGTTTGCAAACACATATCATAAATTATAATAGCGAAATTTTCGCAATAGGCGCCATAAATCTTAAGTCATTTTTTGTAAACGGATCTAAAAGAATCTTTTTCTATCACCTCTTCACGAACGAAGAAAAACTTTCCGATAAGCAACATTCTATATAATTTTCTATGTAATGTTACTTATCGGGAAGTTTTTCTTGTTTTTTTCTTTCGGGGGCATACATTGACGTCAATCAGAGAAATCGTCATACTAGTTTATTTTTGTGCCACGGAGGATATTTATGTCAAAGAAAGTGATTAAATATTTAAGTAATATTTATATTGTAGAAAGAGGAATCCTTCACCGGATTGAAAGTTGTCAATACTGTTTTAACACACTATAAATTGAAGTCTATATAGCGCCGAAAAAATTCAACTGGCACGATATTAATGCAAAAAGCGGAAGCCCTTTTTTCTACAGAACGACTTACACTTTGGAGCGGGATCTATTCTTTTTACGGACCAGCACTCTATTGTCCTGCAAAATTTACTTTACTTTTTTATCACTCAGATTTTTTTTGAGTTTTATGGGTTCTGATAAGCAATATACACCGGATTTCACCCCAAAACTTTTAACAGTAATAGTCTTGTCGAATCCTGTCCGGTCGTCACAGCTGCGAAAAGTTCATTGCAACAATATTAATGAAACTTTTGTTGTCACGCCGAAAAAAAGTGAAGTTGATTTAACATTCTGGATTTGAAAAAAAGTGTGCGAGAACTTACAAAATGCTGAATAATTGACCCCTACATCAGTTGCTTTAGCAATGTCAAGATGTAAAACTAACTGCTGTAACTGTTAATTCAGCATTTTGTCAGTTCTTGCACACTTTTTTTTTTTGCAAATTAAACACAATTAACTTCACTATTTTTCGGTGCACGCCTAAAATTTTACTTTGCGTCCTGAATGGACGCTACGAATGTTGTCCTCGGCACAACAAAAAATCAGACAAAGAAACAATGATTTCTTTAGTACTAAATCCAATTTTTCCGTGTTCACAAGCGGCAAATTTTTCGATTAAAAAGAGTCTGGGCCTCAAGACGTACCTGTTCTTCGAAATCCAGAGTTCCCAACGGCCTAGTACGCCGAAATGTCACACAGATGATAACAAACGGAACAACTTTTTGGCAATTTTGCCGATCAAAAAACCGGCTCAAAAAAGAAACTATCGGAACTTGGAATTTAATCCGGGTACGAATCAACACAATAAAAAGCTTTACAAGAAGGATCAGTCGAGTTTGTCTCTGACTTTGCGTCGCACTATCCGGCGCCACTTCATATTCCACAACACGCGCGACACGTCACGGCGATCATCACTTTCGGCGCGAAATCGCCGGGTTTCGAACTCGGACCGGGCACCACAACACGAGGACGAGGACCGGCGGGTTTGGGTTGTCGGGTGATCTGCGTGTCTCGCGGAGCCGGGATGCTGCGGGTCGCGGAGCGCGGGTCCAGGAGGCGGAGCCGGGCGACGGCGGCGGCCAATGGGAGGCCGGAGCGAGGCGGCGGCCGGCCAATGGGGGCGCCGCGAGGGGATCGATTTCCGCGCTGCTCATTCGTCTGGAAGCGCGATGGGCGGGCGGGGAGCGGGGCCGTGCGGGAAGGGAACAGCTGGTCCGAGACCGGTGTGGCCTCCGCGAGTCCAGTTTCTTCGCCTCGCAGCCCCGTCGGGTTCTGCCGGAGCTCCGACGTCGAGTCGCCGCTAGGGCCACGTGCTCATGGATGGAAAATAAAGCACTGTCATTGAAAAATTCCATAAAGAAAAAAAAGGTTTGTTTACATGGTAATGTACAATATGGCGTCAATATTCCGGCTAAAGATAAAATTCTAAGTATGGAAAACGGACACTGGAAAAAAAAAAACACATTGGATCTAGAGTCCAGACTCTCAAAAACATCGACAAGAAAAAGTACTCTTGATTCAATCGGATTTAAGCTTAAATCAAGAACCAAGCATCTTAATTTAAGCGGATTTCCTTTTAATTTAAGCTTAAATCTGATTGAATCAAGAGTATTTTTTCTTGTCAATGTTTTCAAGAGTCTGGAGTTTTAGACCATAAGAAAAAAAACGGGAAGGGGTGAGGGAGGGAGAGGTGCGGGAGGGGGGATAATTTTGGAATTTTATCAACATGGGGGGGGGGCTGGAAAAAATTTTGCGGGGGGGCCCAGCGGAAGTCCGTTATGCCACTGGTCTGGACTCTAGATCCAATGTGTTTTTTTTCCAGTGGACCCTGATGTTTGTAATTTTCAGCGTATAGGTCTGGATACACGATCAAATTTCGAACCAATTATGATCAAAGAAGACCAGCTGATGACTGGTGGTCACCATGCAAAAGTCCTCTTTGATCAAAATTGGACGGGCCGTCAAATTTTGATCAGAATAGCGTGCCACCATTCATCGTTTCTTGCCGCACGAAACATTTCTGCCAAGTTTGCATTTTAAATTTAAGCAAATTAATATTTTGAGACTGATGATTCCCGACACTTTGATGGTAATTGGTTCGGGAATTTGATCGTGCATCGAGACCTTAAGGCATCGCGATATCGATGGTGAAATTGCAAAAATGCATACCTCAGTTGCAATGTTTCGAAATCTCCGCTCCTGTTTTATTTTTAAAAAGGAGGCCGAACTATTATCATGGCAAGCTTGAAGTTTTAACAGTATACCTATACTTCAAAAAGAAAGGAAATATCACCAGCATTTTCAAAAAATGACGTTCAGAAGTTTTCCATGTAGAAAGAAAAGTATGGCGGGAAGTTTGCAATGCTGTAAACCGAGATACGCATTTTCGCAAAACCATCTATATATAATTGTAACTAATTTTTGAAGTACGATTTTTTTCTACTATTGCAATTATGAAACGGAACGTTGTCCGTTCCTTTTTGATTAAAAATGTTAATGTCATATTGTCATAGGTAAAAAGTTAATCCCAGACTTTTTTCAAATACCTCGCAGATATCAAATAGACATAGAGACCGGTTAGTAAGAACTTAGCACCCATCAGCCAAAGAAGTGACTTCGGCCCATCAGTTCAATGAACCTATGCTGCCGTGCTAAGTAAAAACGTCGGATGAACACCCGAGTTGCCAAATTTCCTTCGAGAAAATGTTCATTTTTGAGAAAAGTAATGGATATATTTCCTTAAAATTTTCAGATGTTTTAGTTTAAATTGTGAACAAAATTGCCTGACAAATTGGGGGGGAAATATACAGACTTTTCCCAGCAAATTAGTTTTTTATTGAAGGAAACATGGCAACGTCTGAAGACTCTTACGGCATCCTTCCTTAGCACGGAAGTATGAGCTTTCAAGCTTCAGATTATTGCCGTAAAGTTATCATAACATACTAAAAAGTTCATTAAAGTGATCTGCCTGGGTTTTCATTCAAATTTTTGCTAGAGACAAGAAACAAGTAAGAAACAAGCTGAATGAATGGATGCATCGACAAATTTTCTGATACAAAATCATGAAAACAGTGCGAAAATTGCGAAACGTCCGCTTGTTCTGTCTGCTCTTTCTCATTGTGTTCCAATACGTCTCTTTTCCACTCACCCGCGACGGTGATGCATGACACTCCTTCAAGCTTCTGATTGGTGCTTTACATCATGCGTTTGCTCATGATATTTACTGCATCGAAGACTCAAGTGTTTGGTTTCAAATGGACGTATTTCTGCCGAACGGAACTATGTGCATTAAGACATGAGCCCTGATACCCCTAAGAATGTATGCATAATAGGACTCACGTTATAATGCACATAGTTCCGTTAGGTAGAAATACGTCCAAATAAGACGCAGCAAATAAATTTTCGTGTTGACAAAATTTGAATGATTTGAGCTTCGCATTTTTCGAATGGTCTCATTTACTTTGCACATTCAGTTTATAGGCGTAATCTTACTCTCTTATAAAATAATGTATGGTTGTACCGTTGACCACCATATTGGCTGAATTTCCGCTTAATTAAATGTTAATTTATCGTCTACTTGATTGAATAAATACTCTTTCAGTACTCTCACAAGTATTCATTTTCAAAACCTGTGGCTCTAAAAAACGCCCCTTCGAGTTTTTTCTTCGGAAGGAAAGGTGACTTTGTAGACTTTGTGTCCTCAAAAATAAAATAACGGAAAGCTCAACGACTTACACACACTTTTAAATATTATGCAACATCAATCGCTATAGTCCCCGTCCCGTGCGTTTTGAGAAATCCAACCGAATTCAAAAAACGGCGATTAACAGGTCCTTCCACTCAGAACGTTGTAGGCACCATGCTCTCCTAACGGAGATCTTTTATTTATTGTCCTTCGACAAATCAAAAAACACGAAGAAGAAGAAATGTGTATGTTTGACAATTTAGAAATTATTTATCTGCTGCAGTCGTGAAAAACCGAGAGGGGCTCAGTCATTTGCGGCGAGCGGGGTTGCCACGTTGAGCCGGAGTTCACGGATTCCCCCGGGGTGAAAACGGAATTTCTCGTTCCGAGCGACAAATCGGCACGCTAGTGGACTCTGGTCTTTGAAAGGCACGCAAAAGGGGAACTTGGAGCACATAGAATTCGAAACTTTAATTCCTCTCTTCGCGACTAGATCAGTTTTGTTCGTTCCCCCAACAGCCCGAATGCCCTCCTCCCTCCCCGCGCCATTGTGGAAGGTTGACTTTCGAGATTTTTTTAGGGACCGCTACATTAGGGTTGCCCCTCGCCTTTAAGCGGCGTATTGACATTGTTCTGCTAATGAAAGGAATGCTCGAAATGCAGGCCTCGTTGTCTCATGTGTTAATACACAAGGCTCCATTCACCGGTTGCTTTGTTGGCCGGTAAGGAAGGAAATGTAAATGCAGTTAAACGTTTCCACTCCGAGTAAAGTGATTTTCATTATCCCTATCATCGGGAGCTAAGGGGCTTGGATTCGTAGTTTGTCCGATATTTTGGTTCAATTAATGTAAGCTGATGCTTTTCTATAGTCGCGAGTTTTTGCGAAAATCGATGCGAATAATTTTTCTAGAAAAAAACCACATTTTTTTAAAATTTCTTCAAGACGAAAAAACAAAAGAAAGTATCTTGAGATAGGAGGAAGAGAATACTTTGAGAGTCAAGTCGTTGCCCCACCCCAAAAAATATCAATATAACGGAAAAAATTAAACTTCTAATTTAACAGTTTGGTCGTTCAAAAGTGTCCGACATGTTTCAATGAAGATTTTACAATAAAAAAAAATGCTGGCTCTATACTATTGTATAATGTACACACGGAAAAAAAAGTGGTCCGCTACGTGAGCGGACCTGCTCGGTGAATTTGAGGTACGAGCTTGAGGAACGACTGTCTGATAAAGACCCAGGTGACTCCTGGTTGTCAACCCCGTACTCAGGTCGCCTGTGGAACCCGACTGTTCGGGTCTGAGATGAATACCGTAACTTCAGTAATGACGAGCGGCTGGTCGGCGCCGACGAACGGGGAAAGTCCACCCCGTGGATACCGGACGCATCGACCCCCGTCGGCACAGAAGGATCAGGGTTCAACCCCGCGTTGGTCCGCATTTCCGCATGTCTGTCCGGCCAACTAATTACCGTTGGCGTGGTCTTTGTCCACTTACCACCGCGCGCCATATTGGTGTTTGACTTCCAACCGTTCTGACCGTTTTAACTGCTTTCCAAGTTTCAGTTGGAATATTAATATCTGTGTGAACACTGTGTTATTTTCTGTTTTGTTTTTGTGTACGATGTTGATGTATTTGAAGAAATCTGAGACGATTCTACGAGAGCTGTAGGCAGTTAAGGATTAAGTGTATTGTCAAGGTGAGTGTGTTTATTAGGCCATTTTAGGCCCTCGAATATTCTAGATTTTCAGAATTCGTCACTCATACATTATTACTCACATTTTTATCTTTCTTATTTCATTTCTCACATTTTGCTTCACAGAATCATTCAATTTTTCTTATCTTGGATCTTTATTGTTTTTGCCCCATCACACCTGCAAACAAGTGCACACCTACTTTATACATATATCAAGTACAACGCGAGAATATTTACCATTTGAGTTACGCATAGCTGGACAACAGTGAGGAATTTAATGTAACTAATATTCAATTTTTATTTGCATTCATTCATTTTTAATGGAATCGATGGTTTTATAATGCTTGTATATTTGTTATTTGGTCACTCATTTAGAAATCAATCAATGATAAAATCCGCAATTTGAATTTTTAAGAATACTGGCATTTCATTACACATTCACGACATTAGTAACGCAACTAGTAAGTCCCACTGATTTATTGAAAGGCTGAAATCCAAAGAGAGAAAATACTGACATCGACAAACGCGTGATGCACGTTAACTTCAAAGCAAATGTGTTACATGAAACAATTATTTCCCCCCCATTTTTTGCTTATTTATTTATTTAGTTAA